TGAATATAAAAACGTGTAAAAATGAAAAAATGGTGAACTATATTTTTGAGTTCGCATTGCCAATATCCTTTATATACAGTCTAATTTAAATTAATTGAAAATGTATAACTCCAAAAAAAAATTGGCTTTAAAAAATTTAGGATTAAATAAAATAATTATTTTCATTTAAAGAATTATTATTGAAAAAGACAAACATAATAATTAAATTAAAGAAAACAAGCTTTACATTTAAATAGTATAATAATTCAAAAATGCTATATAAAAGAAAAATAAGCTTATCTATCAAATTAATCTCTTTTGTAAACTAAGTACTAAATTATTTTTTCTGCAGAATAAAATACTTTGATTATTTCTTAATCATTCCATATAAATGTTTCGTTTGCACATTCCTCAATAAAGTTGCTTCCTCTTCTATTAGAAAAAATAATAACTTATATATTAAATGCTGATAATAAATTGCACAAACTGAGAAATAAATTATTTTTAGATATTTAAATATTTTCAGTTTAATATAAAATTAGTTTTATGCTTAAATTATTATCTTGGTATTACCCATGTTATTAAAAATAATTATTTTTTTTAGAGGAAAGAAATTTTCTCTCTACTAATTTGTACCCTATTTATTTGGATATGAGTTAGCTCAGAGCCTATCTCATAAAATAATGAAAAGTTTAATTTTTTTAATTGGAATATTAATCCTGCTCTTAATCATTTATGATATCTCTGTGATGATCTTGGATTATTTAATTATTTTCATTATTGTTTTCTTAGTCATTTAGCTAGAATTTAAAATCTTATTGGCTTTAAAAATTTTTAATTGGATTATTATTACACTTTATTAGAGAGTTCTATTGTGTTTTAATTTATTAAGATTCAATATGTTAATCTTACTAAGTAATTATTTCAGGATTATTCTCAAAATTATTTTGCTAATTTTCTTCATAAATATCAATAGAAGAATAAAATTTATGTTTTTCATTTGAAGGAAAAAGTTAGCTTTTCTATTAAATGAAATAAAAGCTATCAAAGTATTTAGTTGAATTTCGTTTTGGATTTTCTTCTTAATTATTTTACTATCCTGTAAACTCGGCACTTGAATCTGATTCAAACAACTCTATAGAATTGTTTTGCATTAAAATATTAGTTAGTTATGTATTTGATCTATAACTCAATTTATAATATTGAAGCTACTAGTTTAGATTTAAATTAAATGATTCATTTTAAAAAAACATTTTATTTAAATCATTTACAAATTATTATTTTTACAATTTAAGCTAACTAGTCCTTATCAAAGGCATATATTATTAGACAGAGTTCGTTTATAAATCATTTAAAGAAATAGAGACACTATCATCTTTTTTCACTAAAGCTTCTTCAATAAGTTTTATAAATAGTTATAATTGATCAAAGGAAAAATTTTAATTATCATTTTCTTCATAATAATAATTATTTTATTTATTTAATGATAATTTATGTATATTTTGTAGTGGTTGGTTAATTTCAAATGAAATCACTATTTTAATATTTTTATTTTTATTAAATCTTTGTTGTTGCTCTTTGATAGATTTATCTTGGATCTTAAATAAATCAAATATTTATTACAATTTAAAAATAATTCTGTAGGGCATATTTGACATTAAGCATTTGCTTTTCTCGAGAATAGATGTCAGAATATAAGCAGCCTTTTTATATTACTTTGTAAATATTAGATATTCAGCATAATTAAACTAAATATAAACATATAAATTATTTGTAGGCATATTTAAAAGTGAGAGTACATTCTTTTGACTAGAAATAACTTTTCCTCTATGATTCAATTCATTTGATTAATCTTATTTCTTATATTTCTTACTTTAAAGTATACTTGTTTTTTTTTGTGGTTAGTTTTTTGAATTAAAGATATTTTATGAATTTTCTAAAATCATGTGCTATGACATTAATATATTATTATTGCTTTCATGATTGAAAATCTTAGGAGAATTTACATATTTTTTAGGAGAATCAAAAAATTCATGTGTATTTTAATTTACAATACTGCTAAATTTTAGACCTGTTTTTTCAGAAATTCTTTCTTTTGTAATTTTTTTTTTTGGAGTGTTGCTTTCAATTATTTTTTTTTGGAATTGCTCATGCTAATTTTTAACTATTTTTTTAGATTGCTAAATTCTTTAATAAGCCTTTTTAAGTTTATTCATATTATAATAGCATTTAGATAATATACATTCACAAATTACTTTTATTTTTTCTTAGCATGGTAAAATAGACTATAGAGGTATTAATTCTTTAGTGAGTTGCTTAATTTGTTCCCAAAAGCTATAAAGGAATTTCTATTATTAATCATTACTGAAGTCTTATTATTAAATAATCAAAGCGATTAAATAATTAAGTTTTCTAAATATTAAATTAGAAATAAGTACTTATAATTCTTGATATTATTCATCTTCTTTGTTAAGATCTTCTATTTAAAATATATTATTAGTAAAAATGCCATTGCCATTGCCAGATTTATTTTTTTAATTAAAATTATTTATAATAGAGGACTCTATTAGGCCGATGCGGGAATTATTTTTTGGCTATTTTAATTTACTTTAATTTATTTAGATATTAAATAGACTTAAATGATTGATATTTGATATATTAATACATTAATCTTTCATTTTATTTTGTAAATTTGTCATATTGTTATCTATATTTTAGTCACTAAAAGAATATGGCTGCAGGATATTAAGGAATTTAATGTTTTCTGTTTTATCACAAAACTCTTGAATTTCATACTTAGCGCAGATAATTGAAGATTAAAAATGCTCCATAGACTGAAAGTAGTGTTTCTGATTTAACAAAATACATCCAATATTATTATGTGCTATTCCTAGTGCATAGTAATTATTAAATTTTTAAAAAAATTTAACTTTTTTATTGAGATCAATTAATGTTTTTCCTTCGTTTTCTATGAAAAAATGCTCACTCAAATATTAAAGCTACTAAAATAGATTATAAAAACTATTATAAAGCATCCTAGTTTCTTTAGAAAGAAATATTTCATCTGCATTTTATTAAAATTCAATAATAATTTCATTTATATCGCATTGCTTTTAAAGTAAATTAATTCTTTGCAGTATCTAAGTCAATTTATCAATAGGTTTATAAACCTAATTTTTGACAAGACGTAAATATTAAAATATTGCGCAAAATAACAACAAACCAAGGATTGAAATACAAATAGAAGATATAATTAAGATAATCGTAGACAGTTAAATTAATTATTAAGTTTGTGCTCTTAAATCTTCATCTGAAATCATGTTAATTTATAAATAAACATATTCAAGTTATTGACCTTAAATTCCTAAATAGCTAGCTATGTGATTGGGGATATCATCGAAACCAATGATTGGATTTATAATTACTTTGTAAATAGATTAATTTCTCTTGTAATCAAAAATCACTTAATATTAACTTTAATTCATCATTTATATTAAAGTGGTTTTAGTGTTATTTGAGGTATTAAAAATCCATTTTTTATAGTTATTACTGATCAAATTTTGAAAATACTAAGATTACTACTAATCCTCCAAAAATTCAAGCTCAATGTTATAAAAATTATCTATTTATTTAATTTAAGAAAATTTGTACTCATTGATAGAGTTATAAACTATTTAAAGTGTCCTTGGGTCAATTACATAATACTATTTTGATGATTGGATAACATTTTAGAAATAGTTTGACAAATTAGAAAGCATAGCATCTAAGCATTAGACATGATGGATTTCTATCTTTTTAGTTTATGGATTTAAATATAAGGATTTCTAGCATCCAAACTATGATAAATATGGAACATTACTTCCAAATGATAAACTTGGCTAATTCATGTAAAATGAAGTTTAATTAAGGCTATTTTAATACCAAAACCTAGTTCTAGGATCATATTAATGTATTGCATTTATATTTTATTTATCAATCGCATTAGATAGTGTCGTATTAGAGAAAGTAGAAAAAAAAAATCCATCACCATACGCTTAAAAAATAGCCTTATAAGGAATTGCTTCAAATTCCTAATCCGCAAGGTAGACTCTGCTTTGATACCCAATAGATCTTATGATTGGACTTATTTATGTATAGTTTTAAACAATTATTTTTTTTTGATTATCTAAGTTATTCATATACACTTCATCCTAAATATACCTATATAATCAAATTACAAAATAAATTTTAGCAAAATCAATATTAAATTCGTAATTAATGTTAGGGGGATGAAAATTAATTTCAAAATACTATTCTAGAGTTAAATCCCTTTTTAAAATTAATTGGCTCAACGTAATCAAAAAAAAAAAAGATTTTGTATCTCTGGTTGTAGAAAAGCATAAATATAGATTATATTACTTTAATTTGTTAGGATTTTAAATTATAACTAACCAATAAAAAAGACTTTGATCAATATATTATTTGTTATATTTACTAAACAATAATATTAATGTATAAAGCCAAAGTAAATTAAGAAATATATTTGTATTATTTTAAGAACTATTTTTTTAAATAAGGTAGTAAAAATGCATTTTTAATGCGTCTATTTTAAAATAGCATTCTAACTGTTAGATATTTAAAAAAATCTTTTAAATATAATATAAAAATATATTGTTTAATTGATTAAAAGTGAATGTTTAGTAATTCTACTCCATTAAATTTTAATCTTGAATATTTATTATAAAAATTTAATTTAAGATGATTTACCAAGCATCTACTAAAAAGGAGTTTTTTAAAGCTAATTTTGTAAGAGCTTAGTCCTCAAGGTTTACATATGCAAGGATATTGTTCAAGAAAGATTTATGATGCGTTGGATTATATATTACCTTTCCTCTAACAACTTTATCAGAAAATGAGTTCATGATGTTTAGGAAATAAGGGAATTTATAGATTTCTTTGCTCAAGCGATATGAGATGAATTGAGTATGAGAAGAGCTAAATTTTACTTTATCATTGAATAAATTATCACAATACTCTTATATATAAATATTATTTTAATGAAGGGCTATCAACAAACTCCCAATCGCGCTTAAAAAAGCTAGAGTTATAGGAACTATTATTATGGTAAATAGACTAATAAGCATATCAATACAATTTTCTTATTTTTTGTTTTCAGAAATTATATTTTTATATTTTAGATGAAAAATATCAAATTTCATTTATAAATTTACTTTCTGAATTTATATGTCATTATTGATTGACTATTCGAAAAGCTTATTCTGATTTTAAAATTCAATAAACATTTTCAATATTCATATGATAGGTTTTAATTTCAATAAGGGTTACTAGTAAATTCACTATTGGTCCTTACCTTAAAAAGACTAGAGTAATTTATTAGAATTACTATTAAGGTAAATAATTTAATAAGTAATTAAAAAAATTAACTTATTTTTGTTTTCAATAATACATTTAAACTAATTTTTTGCATATTAAATTAAGATAGCCAAATTTTATTCTACTTAAAGCTAGCTTACTTTTTTTCTCATTGTATTGTGCAATCAAATTTTTTTTAATCTTTTGAATAAATTACAACAAAAGCAATTAATTAATGATTCTTTACTTAATTATCATTGATTTTAATGATATATGTAATTAAAGCTATATAAACACTCACATTTCTTTACATTTCAAATTATTATTTTAAAATATAAATAATAATATTTTTTTTATTGTTTGTTGAGCTTTTGTAAATTTAAACTAAATAGAGTATTAAGAAAAGTGAGTTATTTCTTTAAATATGTTCAATTTTGTGTATTAATAATATCAAACATGTGGTTATTAAATTAAATTTTACTAACATATCAATAAATTAATATAATTATTTGTTTCCTTATCTTTTTTAAGACAAAATATTTTTCTAAATGTTAAAAAAATATTTTTTTAATTTAAAAATAAATTTAAACCTGATTTTTTATATTATTTATAAATTATTAAAAATAATAAAAAAACAATTTTATTTTTTCATTTTTAATTACAAAAATATCTTTTAAAATAATGTTACATATTTATATTTTTTGAAATCCATTTTATCTAAGAAACTCTTTAATTAAATGGATGAAGAGAAATTAGAGGATAGAACTAATTAATTATTTTTTCATTTTTAATTTCAAAAATATCTTTTAAAATAATGTTACATATTTATATTTTGCGAAATCCAATTTATTTAAGAAACTCTTTAACTAAATTGATGAAGAAAAATTAGAGGATAGAACTAATTAATAAATATTGAATTTTTATTTATACTTGATTAATATTAACTGTATCAATTTTTTTATTTAGTTTATAATATTGCAAACTACTATTTTAATACTATTTATGAATTATTAAAAATAATTATAAAAACTAATTTTATTTTTTTATTTTTAATTACAAAAATATATTTTAAAATAATGTTACATATTTATATTTTGTGAAATCTAATTTATTTAAGAAACTCTTTAAATAAATTGATGAAGATAAATTAGAGGATATAAACATTAATAAATTTTTTATTTTTATTTATTCTTGCTGCTCAATTTTTTGATTTATTTTTTAATATTGCAAAATGCTTTAATATTTAAATTAAGATATTATTCCAATAAATGTTATATTCTATTCCATTTTAAATTCAAAATACTGTAAATGCTCATTAATTAAGGCATTTTTTTCTTAAATTTTTTTTTTTTCGATTATGGTTTACCATTTGGTACTCAATTAATTTGGGGGAGGGGCTTGGTGAGAATTAATGAGGATTAACAATATTTTATTTTTATAAAATTATGTATGCCTATTTTCATATATATATTCCTTAATAACCATTTTAAATTTAAAAAAACATGTCAAATAAAACAAAACAATTAAATCAATTAAGAAGAAAATTATTCTTGTAGTAGTATTTCCACAATAACTTTAATCCTTGAAGTGCTATTTAATTTAAAGTAATATAATTTTTAAAGAAAAGAGAACCTTCAAAACAATCTAATTTGATTTAATTCAAAATGTTTTATTACAAAAAAAAATTAATTGTTAATTTTTCCTTAAATAAATAAAATAATTTTCATAAGAAAGAATTATTATTGAAAGAGACAAACATAAAAAGTAAATTAAAGAAAACAAGCTTTTCATTTAAATAGTATAATAATTCAAAAATGCTATATAAAAGAAAAATAAGCTTATCTATCAAATTAATCTCTTTTGTAAACTAAGTATTAAACTATTTTTTCTGCAGAATAAAATACTTTGATTAATTCTTAATCATTCCATATAAATGTTTCGTTTGCACATTCCTCAATAAAGTTGCTTCCTCTTCTATTAGAAAAAATAATAACTTATATATTAAATGCTGATAATAAATTGCACAAACTGAGAAATAAATTATTTTTAGATATTTAAATATTTTCAGTTTAATATAAAATTAGTTTTATGCTTAAATTATTTTCTGAGAATTACTCATCTTGTTATTAAAAATAATTATTTTTTTTAGAGGAACGAAATTTTCTTTCAACTAATTTGTATCCTATTTATTCAGATATGAGTTAGCTCAGAGCTTATCTCATAAAATAATGAAAAGTTTAATTTTTTTAATTGAAATATTAATTCTGCTCTTTTTCATTTATGCTACTATCTCTGTGATTATCTTGGATCATTTAATTATTCTCACTATTGTTTTCTAAGTCAAATATATTTTTAAGCTAGAATTTAATATCTTATTGGCTTAAAAAATTTTTAATTGGGTTATTATTACACTATATTTGAGAATTCTATTGTGTTTTAATTTATTAAGATTCAATATGTTAATTTAACTAATTAATTATTTCAGGATTCTTATCAATATTTTTTTGCTAATTTTCTTCATAAATACCAACAGAAGAATAAAATTTATGTTTTTCATTTGAAGAAAAAAGTTAATTTTTCTATTTAATGAAATAAAAGCTTTCAAAGTATTTAGTTTTATTTCGTTTTGGATTTTCTTATAAATTATTTTACTAACCAGTAAACTCGGCACTTAAGTCTGATTCGAATAACTCTAAAGAATTCATTTGCATTTAAATATTAGTTATTTATGAATTTGATCTAAAACTCAATTTATAATGTTGAAGTTACTAGTTTTGATTTAAATCAAATGATTCATTCTAAATAAAAATTTTATTTAAATCATTTTCAATTTATTATTTTTAAAATTTAAGCTAACTAGTTTTTATTAATGGCATATATTATTAGACAGAGTTCCTTTATAAATCATTTAAAGAAATAGACACACTATCATCTTTTTTCACTAAAGCTTCTTCAATAATTTGTTTAAATAGTTTTAGTTGATCAAAGGAAAAATTTTAATTATCATTTTCTTGATAATAATAATTATTTTATTTATTTAATGATATTTAAAGTATATCTTGCTATGGTTGGTTAATCTCAAATGAAATCACTATTTTAATATTTTTATTTTTATTAAATCTTTGTTATTGCTCTTTGAAAGATTTATCTTGGATCTTAAATTAATCAAATATTTACTATAATTTAAAAATAATTCTGTAGGGCATATTTGACATTAAGCATTTGCTTTTTTCGAGAATAGATGTTAGAATATAAGCAGCCTTTTTATATTACTTTGTAAATATTAGATATTCTGCATAATTAAACTATATAAATTCATATAAATTATTCGTAGGCACATTTAAAAGTGAGAGTTCATTGATTTGACTAGAAATCCCTTTTCCTCTATAATTGAATTGATTTGATTAATCTTATTTCTTAAATTTCTTACTTTAAAGAATACTCGATTTTTTTTATGATTAGTTTTTTGAATTAAAAATATTTTGAGAATATTCTAAAATCATTTGCTATGACATTATTGTAATATTATTGCTTTCATTATTGAAAAACTTAGGAGAATTTACATATTTTTTAGGAGAATCAATAACGTCGTAATTTCCAAAATTGCTATATTTGAGACCTGTCTTTTCAAAAATTCGTTCTTTTGTAATTTTTTTTTTTGGAGTACTGCATTCAATTATTTTTTTTTGGAATTGCTCATGCTAATTTTTAACTATTTTTTTAGATTGTTAAATTCTTTAATAAGCCTTTTTAAACTTATTCATATTATAATAGCATTTAGACAATATACATTCACAAATTGCTTTTATATTTTCTTAGCATGGTAACATAGAATATAGCGGTAGTAATTCTTTTGTTAATTGTTTAATTTCTTACCAGAAATTATAAAGGAATTTCTGTTATTAATCATTACTCAAGTCTTATTATTAAACAATCAAAGCGAAAATATAATTTATTTTTCTAAATATCAAATTTGAAATAAGTTCTTACAATTCTTGATATTACTCATCTTCTTTGTTAAGATGTTCTAATTAAATTATATTTTTAGTAAAAGTGCCATTACCAGATTTATTTTTTTAATTATTATTATTTAAAATTGAGGACTCAGTTAAGCCGATACGAGAATTTTTTTTTGGCTATTTTAATTTACTTTAATTTATTTATATGATATTAAATTGGCTTAACTGATTGGTATTTGATATATTAATACATTTATCTTTTGTTTTATTTTGATGTTCAAATGAAAATGTTTATCTATTTAAATTTGGCATATTCTTATTTATATTTTAGTCGCTAAAAGAATATGGCTGCATAATATTTAGGAATTTAATATTTTCTGTTTTAGCACAAAACTCTTAAATTTCATACTTAGCACAGATAATTGAAGATTAAAAATGCTCCATAGACTGAAAGTAGTGTTTCTGATTTAACAAAATACATCCAATATTATTATGTGCTATTCCTAGTGCATATTAATTATTAAATTTTTTAAAAAAGTTAACTTTTTTATTGAGATCAATTAGTGTTTTTCCTTCGTTTTCTATGAAAAAATGCTCACTCAAATATTAAAGCTATTAAAATAGATCATAAAAACTATTATAAAGCATCCTAGTTTCTTTCGAAAGAAATATTTCATCAGCATTTTATTAAAATTCAACAATAATTTCATTTATATCACATAGCTTTTAAAGCAAGTTAATCCTTTACAGTATCTAAGTTAATTTATCAATAGGCTATTTAACCTAATTTTTGACAAGAAGTAAGTATTAAAATATTGCATAAAATAACAACAAACCAAGGATTGAAATACAAATAGAAGATATAATTAAGATAATGGTAGACAGTTAAATTAATTATTTAGTTTCTGCTCTTAAATTTTCATCTGAAATCATGCTAATTTATAAATAAACATATTCAAGTTATTGACCTTCATTTTCTAAGTAGCGAGTTATGTGCTAGGGGATATCATCATATCCAATGATGGGACTAATAATTACTTTGTAAACTGACTAATTCCTCTTGTAATCAAAAATCACTTAATATTAGCTCTAATTCATCATTTATTTTAAAGTGGTTTTAGTGTTATTTGAGGTATTAAAAATCCATTTATTGTAGTTATTGCTGATCAAATTTTGAAAATACTATGATTACTATTAGTCCTCCAAAAATTGAAGCTCAACGTTATAAAAATTATCTATTTATGTAATTGAAGAAAAATTGTACTCATCCATAGAGTTATAAACTATTTAAAGCGTCCTTGGGTCAATTACATAATACTCTTCTGATGATTCGATAACATTTTAGAAATAGTTTGACAAATTAGAAAGCATAGCATCTAAGCATTAGATATGATGGATTTCTACTTTTTTAGTTTATGGATTTAAATATAATGATTTCTAGCATCCAAACTATGATAAATATGGTTCATGGCTTCCAAATGATAAATTAGGCGAATTCATGTAAAATGAAGTTTAATTAAGGCTATTTTAATACCAAAACCTAGTTCTAGGATCATATTAATGTTTTGCATTTATACTTTATTTATCAATCACATTAGATAGTGTCGTATTAGAGAAAGTAGAAAAAAAAAACCCATCACCATACGCTTAAAAAATTGCCTTATAAGGAATTGCTTCAAATTCCTAATCCGCAAGGTAGACTCTGCTTTGATACCCAATAGATCTTATGATGGGACTTACTTATGTATAGTTTTTAACAACTATTTTCTTTTGATGATCTAAGTTACTCATATACACTTCATCCTAAGTATACCTATAAAATCAAATTAAATAATAAATTTTAGTGAAATCAGTTTTAAATTTGTAATCAATAAATGTTTTTATTAATTAAGTAATATTAAGGGGGATCAAAATTGTTCTAAATTTCAAAATACTATTGTATTAAGAAATCAATATAAAAGTTCATTGGCTCAATCTAATTAAAAAAAAAAATTTTGCATCTCTGGTTATATATAAGTATAAATATACATTGTACCGCTTTAATTTTTTAGGAGTTTAAATTAGAACTAATCAATAAAAAAGACTTAACTTGTTACATTATTTTTTATATTCACTAAACAATTATATTTTATTATTAAGTCAATGTAAATAAATAACTTCGAGTTATTTTAAGAGCTCTATTTTTAGAATAAGGTAGTAAAAATACATATTAAGGTTCTAATTTTTAAAATAATATTCTAACAGTTAGATATTTTAAAATTTTAAAAATATTTTATAAAAATAGATTGTTTGTTATATTGATTAAATGTAAGTTTCATAATTCTGCTTCATTAAATAAATATTGGATTTGTATAATTAAAATTTAATTTTATGATGGTTTACCAAGCATCTACTAAAAAGGAGTTTTTTAAAGCTAAATTTGTAAGAGCTTAGTCCTCAAAGTTAGCATATGCAAGGATATTGTTCAATAAAGATTTATGATGCATAGGATTATATATTACCTTTCCTCTAACCACTTTATCAGAAAATGAGTTAATGATGTTTAGGAAATAAGGGAATTTATAAATTTCTTTGCTCAAACGATATGATATGAATTGAGTATGAGAAGAGCTAAATTTTACTTTATCATTAAATAAATTATCACAATACTCTTATATATAAAGATTATTTTAATGAAGGGATATCAACAAACTCACAATCGCACTTAAAAAAGCTAGAGTTATAGGAACTATTATTAAGATAAATAACCTAATGAGCATTTTAATACAATTTTCTACTTTTTTTTTTCAGTATATGAATTTATATTGTTATATTTTAGATAAAAATTATCAAATTTCATTTATAAATTTTCTTTATGAGAATACCTATGTCATTTGTTGAGTATTATAAAAGCTTTCTCTAACTTTAAAATTCAATAAACTTTTAAAAATATTCATATAATAATTTTTACTTTCAATTAAGGGAAATTACTAATTTTAGTTTTCAATAATGAGTTTAAACTAATCTTTTGCATATAAAACTAAGACTACAAAATTTTATTCTAATTAAGAGCTTACTTTTTTTCTCATTGAATTATGCAATCAAATTTTTTTATTTATTTTTTGAGTAGATTACGATAATTGTAATGACTATTTATTTAAATATCATTGACTTCTTTAAGATGTGTAATCTTTGCTTTTTGAAAATGCACATTTATTTACAGTTTCAAATTATTGTTTTAGAATATAAATGAAAATCATTTCTTTTTTTAGTTTTTTCTAATTATTTGTTGAGTTTTTGTAAATTTAAACATATACAGTATTAAGAAAAGTGAGCTATCCATTTTTTTTTGTGTTAATGATAAAAAAAAGTGATTATTATTATCTATTTTTAAGACTAAATATTTTTCTAAATGTTAAAAAATTATTTTTGTAACTTAAAAATAAATTTAGACTTGGTTTTAATATTATTTATAAATCATTTAAAATAAATAAATAATTAATTATAAAAAAAATTTTATTTTTTCATTTTTAATTTAAAAATGTATTTTAATATAATAAATGCCACATAGTTATATTTTTGAAACCTAATTTATTTAAGAAACTCGATATAAATAATTAAATTATTTTTTATTTTTATTTATGCATCAATTTTTTGATGTATTTTTTAATAATTCAAAGTGATTTTATATACTATAAATCCTCATAAATTCTCACCATCAAACATAAATTTTCACCATATTTTCTGAATATTTATTTTAATTATTTTAAGTATAAATAATTAAAAAATTATATATATGAGAAATATATAAATTACAATTAATAAGGAGGGACCTTAATATATACCAATTAAATATTCAAAAATGTTGGATGAAAGAAAAATGAGCATATCTGTCAAATTAATCTCTTTTGTATAATAAGTAGTGAATGATTTTTTCAGTTGAATAAAATACTTTGATAATTTCTTAGCCATTAAATAGATATGTTTAATTTTCACATTACTCAATGAAGTTGTTTCCTCTTTTATGAGAAAAAATAATAACTTATACATTAAAGACTGAAAGTAAATTGCAAAACCTTTTAAATAAACTATTTTCTGAAATTTAAATCTACTTAGTTTAATAAAGAATTAATTTTATGCTTAATTTATCATCTTGGAAAAATGAATTTTCTTATTAAAAAGAATTTTATTTTTTTGAAAATTTTTATTTACTTTCAACAAATTTAATTCCTACTTATTCAGATATGAGTTAGTTGAGAGCCTATCTCATAAAATAATAAAATGATTAATATCTTTAATTGTAATACTATTTTTGTTATTCTTCATAAAAATCATTATCTTGTATTATGTTATTATTTTAGTTTTTATTTTCTTCTTCTATTACATTTATAAATTATAGCGTCAAAGGTTCTAGGCTTTGAAATGGTTTAATAGAATTTTTATTAAAGTTGGTTCCATAATTAAATGGCATTGTAATTTATTTTTTATATTCAATATTTTAATCATTTAAAGTAGATTTTATTGGACTATTCTGAATTATTTTTTACTTGATTTCTTAAAAATTATCATTGGAAGAAAGATGATTTTTTTCACTAGCTGGATTAAGATATTTGTTGTTTTAAAAAAAACAAAAGTATGAAATTCTTTCAGTTGTATTTAATTGTATATTTTCTTATAAAGTATTCTACCATTCTATAAATTCGAAACTAGAATCAGATTCTAATTAATCAGAAGATTTTTATTGCATTAAAATATTAGTTGTTTATGTATTTGATCTATTACTAAATATTTAATATTGATTCAAGTAGATTTAATCAAATTTTAACTATTCATTTTAAATAAAAATATTTTTTAATTAATTTAAAACTTTTTATTTTTATGATTTAAACTAACTAATCTTTATCAAAGGCATATATTATTCGACATAATTAATTTGTAGATCATTTAATGAAATGGATACTCTATCATCTTATTTCATTAAAACTTCATCAAGAAGTTTTTAAAGGAGTAATAATTAGTGCAATGAAAAATTTTTATTATCGATTTCATCATTTTTATTATGATTATTTTATTTATCTACAAATAGATTAAATTCATTTAGCTGTGGCTAATTTATTTCAAATGCTATTACTATTTGAATATTCTTATTTTTATTAAACCTTTGCTATTGTTCTACGATAGATTTATCTTAAATTTTAAATGAATTAAATATTTATTACAATTTAAAAATGATTCTATAAGGCATATTTGACATCAAGCTTCTGCTTTTCTCCAAAAGAAATGTCAGAACATAAGCAGCCTTTTTATATTATTTTCTAAATATTAAATACTCAGCATAATTAAGTTAAACAATTTCATATAAACTACTGATAGGGATATTTGAAAGTGAGAGTATATTTTTTTGGCTAGTAAACCTGTTTTCCCTTGGACTAAATTTATTTACTTTAGAATCTTATTTTTAAATTTTTTTATATTAAAATATATTTTTATTTTTTTGAGAATTCTTTTTTGGATTAAAATCAAAATACGAATATTCTAAATTCATTTATTAAGATACATTTAAATTATTAAAACTTTAATTATTACTTTAAATCCTAGGAGAAAGCACATAGGTTTTATGAGTTTCTAAAATATCAAATGTATTGTATTTCGTAAAACTATTGCTATTGATATTATTATTATTATTTTAGTTTTCGTTTGCAAAATTAATTTATTTTATGTTTAGTTTTTCATCGCATGATCTTTGTTTTGTAATGTTTTTTTGCAAATTAGTCCTTTCAATGATACTTTTTTGTAATTACTCGTACTAATTTTTAACAATATTTTTAGATTATTAAATTCTTTTTTGAGCCTTTTAGAATTTATTCATGTTATAATAGCATTTAGAAAATATGCATTCGCATACAGCTTTTATATTTTCTTAGCAATGCAATATATTTACAAGAGGTATTAATTCTTTAGTTAGCTGCTTAATCTATCCCCAGAAGTTATATAGGGATTTTTGGTTTTAGTCATCATTCAAATCTTATTATAATATAATCAAAGTTGTTATATAATTAAGTTTTCTAAAAACCAGATTTGAAATAAGTTCTTATAATTCCTGATATTATTCATCTTCTTTGCTGAGATAATCTATTTAAATAGTATTTTTAGCTACAAAGCTATTTCTAAGTCTGTTTTTTTAACTACAATTAATTTCATTGATAATTTGGGACTCTCCCATGCCCATGCGAGGAATCATTTTTTATTATTTAATTTTACTCTAACTTGTTTAATTATTGTATATGCTTAATTGTTTGATTCTTGAAATACTTGCACATTTCTCTTTACTTCTATTTCGATAGGTAAAAGAATATTGTTTGATACTTGAATTTGCTATGTTATTTTATATATTTTATTCACTAAAAGAATATGGTTGTAGAATTTTTATGAAATGAATATTATCTGTTTGATCACAAAATTCTTAAATTTCATACTTAGCACAGATAATTGAAGATTCAAAATGCTCTAAAGATTAAAAGTAATGCTTCTAGTTTAATAAAATGCATCCAATATTATTATGCGCTATTCCTACAGCATAATAATTTTTAAATTTTTTAAAAAAGGAAACTTTTTTATTGAGATCAACTAATGTTTTTCCTTCATTTTCAATAAAAAAATGCTCACTCAAATATTAGAGCTACTAAAATAATTCATAGAAACTGTTATAAAGCATTTTGGTTTCTTTTGAGAGAAATAAATCATCCGCATTCAATTAAAATTCAACAATAATTTCATTTATATCACATTATTTTTTAAGCAAATCAATTTTTTACAATATCTAAGTCAATTTATTTATAGGATTATAAACCTAATTTTTGACTAGAAGTAAATACTAATATATTGCGCAAACTAATAATAAACCATTTAATGAAATAAATATTGAAGCTACAATTAATAGTATAGTAGAGAGTTTAATCAGTTAGTTAGTTTCTGCTCTTAAATCCTCATCTGAAATCATGTTAATTTATAAATAAACATATTCGAGTTATTAACCTTTATTTCCTAAGTAGCGAGTTATATATTTTGGGATATCATCAAAACCAATGATGGGATTAATAATTACTTTGTAAACTGACTAATTTCTCTAATAATCAAAAATCATTTAATATTAGCTCTAATTCACCATTTATTGTAAATTTGTTTTTGTGTCGTTTGAAGTATCAAAAATCCATTTATTATAGTTATTATTTATTAAATTTTTAAAATAGTTAGATTACTATTAATCTTCCAAAAATTAAAGCTCAACGTTATAAAAATTATCTATTTTTGTAATTGAAGAAAAATCATATACTTTCTTAGAATTAAAAACTATTTAAAATGTCCTTGGATCAATTACATAATACTACTTTGACGACTCAATGACAGTTTAGAAGTAAGTTGATAAATTAGAAATCATAGCATCCAAGCACTAGATATGATGTATTTCTACTTTCCTAGTATTTGGATTTAAATAAAATAATTTCTAGCATCCAAATTATGATAAATAAGGAGTTTCATTTCCAAGTGATAAATTTGGGGAATTCATATAAAATGAAGTTTAATTAAGATTATTTTAATACCACAATCTCTTTCTGGGATCATATTCATGTTTCGCATTTATATTTTTTTTATCAACTACTTAAGAAAATGATGTATTTGAGAATGTAGAAAAAAGAAACCCCTCATTATCTGATGCATAAAAAATTGTCTTAAACGGTATACCCTGAAATTAATTATTATTAAGAAACACTCTGCTTTGATATCCAATAGATCTTATTATGGGACTTATTTACGTATAATTTTAAATTACTGTTTTTCTTAGATTGTCTAAGTTATTGATGTAAACTTCATCTGGTAAATACCTATTTTATTAAATTAAAGTATTTTTAATTAGATCAACAATAGATTTATAATTCTTCAAATTTATAAGTTATAAGGGGGGTTATAAATAATTCTAGTTTTTTAAAATTTTCTATTTTAAATAAAGATATTTTGAAAAAATTTTCTAAAACAAAAATTGAATTAACTAACACCTCTTCTAACATTAATTTAAAAGTCTTTAAAAGAAAGAAAGATTGAATATTAACTATTTGTCAAATAAAAACCATAAATTTTGATTTCGTCACTTTAATTAATTAATTATGATTCTAAGTTTTTCTCAATTTTTAGTAAAAAAGATCTCCAATTATTTATTGCTATTAATTAGCACAAATAATTGTATTTAGATAAATAAAGTATTTTGATTCTTTTTTCTCTCGAACAATTTTTTGGGAGAAAGTAATAAAAATGAATTTAGTTTATTTTAAAAAATGATAATCTAAATGTCATGAAAACTTTAAATATATTTTGCAAAATAATGCTTGTTTAGTCAAAAAAATGATAAAATTTATTTAATAATTCTTCTTTTATAAATTATTCTTAATTATAATCTTAATAATTTACCAACCATCTACTAAGAAGGTGTTTTTTAATACTAACCTTGTAAGATATTCATCCTCAAGATTAACAAATGCAAGAATATTATTATAAAAAGATTTATGATGCCTTGGATTATATTTTACTTATCCTTGAATTACTTTATCTACAAATGAGTTAATAATATTTAAGAAATAAGGGAATTTGTAAATTTCTTTGCTCAAGCGATATGAAATGTATTGAGTGTGAGAAGAGCTGAATTTAATTTTATCATTGAATAAATTATCAGAGTATTCCTATATATAAATATTATTGTAATAAAGGGCTATCAACAAACTAGCTATCGAGCTTAAAAAAGCTAGAGTTATAGGAACTATTATTAAGACAAACAATTTAATACGCATAATAATCTAATTACCTATTTTCTTATTAATTATTTCAATTTATTTTTTTAATATTTGTAATTCAGAATATCAAATTTCACTTTAAATTTCTTTGCTCAAAATTAATATTTAAGATCTATTAAGTATGAATTTGAATATATCTTTAAAATATCGCAAAAGCATATTCAAATAAATAAAAATTGTTGTTCTGTAAGCTTTCAAAAAACTTACTACTTCACTTTAAAAACAAAGAATTATTTATATAAACATATTTGTTAAGCATATCAATCTAATTTCCTACTCGTGAGTTTTTAATGCTGAATCTAAATTATTATATACTAAGTTAATATTATCTAATTCATTCATCCTAATTAAAGCTTGTTTACTATATTTTTTATTGGATTTGACAAGATTAGATTTTTATTAATATTTGTTTTCAGGTTACATCAATATTAATTAGTAAATTATTATTTTTTATTAACTCATCAGAAATCTTAGGAATATATAAATATCTATTTGAACATACATTTATTAAGAATATTCAATTGAAAAATATTCATTTCAATTAACAAAAGTGACTAGTAATAAATCTTAATTATATGATACATTTTTTAATCTTTTAAGGCATAGATTTAATTTTTTTTAAGATGATTTTTTTTATAATATAAAAAATACAAATTAAGCTCATTTTAAGCTTACTAAAATTATCATTGCTTTTTTAAATGTTAAAATTTTTAAAGATATTATTTAATTGTTTTTTATATGTATATTAACTTAAATGAGAAATAGGATTTTAAAAATGAGCAATTTCTTAAAATCAATTTAATTGAATCTTGTAATAATATAATGATAGCAATAATTAAATCAAAATATTTATTTATTTTTTTAAATAAATGAGTTAGTTTTTTATATTATTTGTAATATTAAAAATTTGTACTTTAATTTTAATAATATTTTTGAATTATTTAAAATAATTTAAGAAAATATTTTTATTTTTTTAATTACAAAAATAATTTTTACAGTCATTTTAAGTATTTATATTTTATATACGAAATGAAATTTGTTTAATCAACTCAGATTGAATTTATAGATATTAAAGAATTTAATTTTTAATATCATTGTTCTATTTATCTATTTATTTTATCTTTAAATTATTTCAATATCGCTTTCTATATTAAAATCTCTTAAGAAGAAAATTTAAAGAATTTTCAAATTTAATAAAAATTAATTGTCCATATTTTGTATCAATTGATAATATATTAAATCAAATTTATAAATACTTTTATATGCATTTTAAAATTAATATTTATATGATTTTAATCAGTTTTAGCTATTTTGTTATATTATAAATTTATATATTCGAATTAAACCTAATTTTCATATTTGTAGTATTGTTAATATTAGCACAAATTTCCTAAACAAAAAATGATTAATTAAAATTAAATGAAATACTATAGTTTGAATATTAAAAGAGTAAAATTGATCTTTAAACGAGAAAAGAGCTTGAAACATATCATAATAACCAATTAAATCATAAATTTAATATAAATAATAAAGATGAGTTTTGGGAATAAGTGAAATATATGTTAATCAATAAATATATTCACATTAAGAGAAAGAGTAGATGCTTAGAAGTATACGAGAGTAGCTTGAAGCAATAAACTCCTCAATCTATATAAATTAGATGGAAGGCAGAAGAAGCAAAATATTTTATAATAATAACTATAAAATTTAAATATTAATTTAATTAACTTATTAGAAAAGGAATTATTTGAAATAGTTTTTGAATTTATTTAATTATAATAACTGTAATCTTCTTTAACTATGAATTAAAACTCATAATCAAATAATATACTTATTTTACATTATTTGAAAACACTTCTTACATATTTCATGAATAAAGTATTTTTAATGATTAAAAATTTACTAAATAGAACTTTAAAAAAACTAAAACAAAGATTTTTTTTTGAGAAAATATATAAAAATTATGAAGAAATCTAAGGTATTCTTATTTTATTTATTTAATATATAGTATGATAAAATAATATTTTTATAAATATTTTCAATTTTAAAGTTTAGTAAATATTTTTTCTAATTTTAATAGAAATTTTATATTTTTTTAATATCCTTTTTTATCAAAAACAATATCAAATTGTAAATCAAAATAAATTAATTAAAATACAATAATCTCTATATTTTTTATCACAAATTATAAGATTGTTACTCATGTGATTTTAATTAATATTAGCTATTATTTACTTAAGTGATAAATTCGACATAAATCTAATGTCTATATTTGTAATATTGTTAATCAACAGATATATTCATATTAAAAGAAAGGGTAAATGCTTAGAATGGTACAAGAGTTAGCTTGAAGTAGGAGTTTCTCAATCAATCAATCTATATAAATTAGATAGAAAGCAATAGAAGCTAAATTTTTTATCATGATTGCTATCAAATTTAAATATTAATTTGGTTAATTTATTAGAAAAGGAATAATTATAAATAATTTTGAATTTATTTAGTTATGTAAACTGTAAACTACTTTAACTATTAATTATTTATTACTTATAATCAAATAGTATACTTATTATTCATTGTTTGAAAACATTTCTAATATTTTTAAGTAAAAAAATATTTTTAATATTTACTAAATATAACTTTTAAAAAAAACTAAAATAAGGATCTTATTGTATGATAAAATAATATTTTTGTCTGTATTTTCAATTTTAAAGTTTAGTAAATATTTTTTCTAATTTTCATAGAAATTTTATATTTTTTTTATATCCTTTTTATCAAAAAAGATTTCAAATTATAAATCAAAATAAATTTATCACAAATTATAAGATTATTACTTATGTGATTTTAATCAATATTAGCTATTATTTTCTAAAGTGATAAAGTCGATATAAATTTAATGTCCGTATTTGTAATATAGTTAATCAACAAATATATTCATATTAAAAGAAAGGGTAGATGTTTAGAATGGTTCAAGAGTTAGCTTCTAGCAAGTAATTTCTCCCTCTATCTATATAAATTAGATTGAAGACAATAAAAGCTAACATGATAATTAGTATCAAATTTAAATATTAATTTAGTTAATTTATCAGAAAAGGAATAATTAGAAATAATTTTCAATTTATTTAGCTATGTAAACTGTAAACTACTTTAACTATGAATTATTTATTACTTATAATCAAATATTTGAAAACATTTCTAATATATTTAAGTAAAAAAAATATTTTTAAACTTTAAGAATTTACTAAATAGAACTTTTAAAAAAAACTAAAATAAGGATCTTATTGTATGAGAAAATAATATTTTTGTCAATATTTTGAATTTTAAAGTTTCGTTAATACTTTTTCTAATTTTCATAGAAATTTGGTATATTTTTAATATCCTTTTTTATCAAAAAATATTTCATTTTGTAAGTAAACATAAATTAATTAAAATAGAATAATCTCTTTATTTTTTATCACAATTTATAAAATTGTTACTCATGAATTTAATAAATATACTTAAGGAAGTGTTTAAAATATATTGAGTTAATGATTTAAATAAAATCCACTCAACATCATACAGTTATTATAATAATTAATAACAAATAAATATATATAAATCAAAGAAGTGCAAATGAGATAGACATTGTAAGTCTTTTTAGTTTTATTTTCAACTTTTGCAATTATTAATTGTCTTAATAATGGCCTCGCTTTAACACCTGCTATGGGTTGGAATTCATGGAACCACTTTCATTGTGATATTAATGAAGACTTGATCAAATAGACAGCAGATGCTATTGTTAGCTCAGGATTAGCTGATGCAGGATATAAATATGTCAATCTTGATGATTGCTGGCAAATTTCAAGAGATTCTGAAGGATACATTCAAGAAGATAAAGCTAAAGTAAATTAATAAACCTATTTTTATAATTGTCAAATGAACTTTTTTTCTTTTTATTCAATTCTTTTGAGTTTGTTCGACATATTTAAATTACTAAATAATCTTATTAATTATTCATCATAATATTTTGTAGTTCCCTTCAGGAATAAAGGCATTGGCTGATTATGTTCATAGCAAAGGCTTGAAATTCGGTCTTTATAGTGATGCTGGTGACTTCACTTGTGAACACAGACCTGGCTCTCTTGGCTACGAAGTGAAAGATGCTGAGAGATATGCAGAATGGGGAGTTGACTACTTGAAGTACGATAATTGCTACAATAATAATATTCCTCCTCAAGTCAGATATCCTCCTATGAGAGATGCCCTTAATTCTACTGGTCATCCTATTTATTTCTCTATGTGTGAATGGGGAGAATAAGATCCCGCAACTTGGGCCCCTGAAGTTGGAAATTCATGGAGAACAACTGGAGATATCTCAGATAACTATGATTCCTTCCTAAGCATTCTTGAATAACAAGTAATATACTAACCTTGTATTTAGATTACACAAAATTCTTAATGTTTGCCTACTATTTATTTACTTAATTAGCAAATAAAGTAATGAATAAAATAGTAATAAATTAATCTAAATAGAAAAATAAAGATTTCTTTAATTAAATTAACTTTTTGAAAATAATTGCCATCAAAAAGTGTAAATATGTTGTCATCAAATTTAATAAAAGAAAATATCTTACATTTATACAAAATATAATCAAATTGAAAGCATTTACTTTCTATCAAATTTGGTGATAATTAATTCGTGCTTATTTGTTTTTTATTTTACTAAAGGTTGGTTTAGAGAAGTATGCCCATCGCGGTGCTTGGAATGATCCAGATATGCTTGAAGTTGGTAATGGAGGTATGACTACTTAAGAATATGAAGCTCATTTTGCTCTTTGGGCTTTATTAAAAGCTCCTCTTTTGATTGGATGTGATGTAAATAACATGTCCCCTGATACCTTTAGAATTCTTTCTAATTAAGAAATAATCGCAATTAACTAAGATCCTCTAGGAATTTAAGGAAGAAGAGTTTTGAAGACAGATTAATATTAACTCTGGATTGGCACAATAGTAGATGGTATAGCAGTTATCCTCTTCAACACTTCTTCCTAAGATAGTGACTTATCCTTTACCTTCGAGCAAATTGGTATTACAGGATAAGCTATCATCAGAGATTTATACAAGCACTAAGACTTAGGAAAGTTTTCAAATTCTTTCTCAACAAATGTACCCACTCATGGAGTTGCTGTACTTAAAGTTGTCCCTCTTTCATTTGCTTATTGATATAATTATTCAATAATATATATATACATATTTTATATTAATCATAAAGAGAAAAATTACGATTATAAATAAACCACAAAATTAATTGTTGTCAATTATCTAATTAAAGAATAAGTTTTCATCAGTATTTTCAGGCTTATATTTTCATCATACATAAATAATGTAAATTTTAAAATAAAATAAAAGTTCTAAAAAATAGATTTTATAAATTAAACATGTTTAAATATTACTAATAATACATTAAATTTAAATATTACTTATAGTACATTAAATTTAAAATATAAATAAAAGAGTTTTGCAATATTAAAAATAATAATTACTATTTATTATTGATGGTTTAAATTAGAGCTAAGCATAATTAAATTAAAAATTATGTATAAATATTAAATTAATTGACTGATATATTGTGACATATTAATAAAAATAGTGTGTCATCAAAATATTTTTAATTTGTGTAAATTTGTCAAAAAAAGTAGGGAGGAAGTGTATGATGTGGTGAATTTGGGTCCGAGATATAACAAATTAGGGTATATATAAATAAAAAATATAGTTAAGATTTTTAGATCTTTAATTAATAGAATTGTATCAACATATGAATCCCATCTTTGATTCTTGCTATCTTTATGTGAAAAAATTTTGAACAATATTCAATAATTAATTAATTATTGCGACACAAATTGTGACATATTTCTCTTCCTAAAAGCAAATTTTTTAATTTGTATTTGATAATTATTAAGATTTATTTCTTTTTTTTTTCTAAATTAATTTGAAATAAAATTTAAATAATTTATGAATATTCTTATAATTAATTAAATATCCATAAATTAGTATTCAATATTTATGTAAATAAAATACACTATTTAAGAGAAAAGATATTTTTACAATCTAAAAAAAGTAAATATTTACTTTTTTACTATTAAGTTATTTTAATTAATAAAATAAGTTATTAGAATCTCCACTTTAATTGTTTTAGATTCTCCATGTTGATCTGAAAAATTGGTATATTATTATTATAAAAAGGGTTTTAAAATTATACTTATAAAATTATAAATCATTTAATAATTTTATTTTTAATTTAAATCGTATAAAATCCTATTAAAAAAAGATGTTTATATACATTTTATAGGGATTGAGTCACCCATCATTGGGTTTATCCTATCGTATTATATTTAATTTTCATATGATTCAAAATATTATTTTTCTTATTAAAATTATCATATTATTTTTTTCACTTTTATAAACACACATATTTTTTAATTATTTTAACTAAATTTTTTTTATATTTTATATTTTTCTTTGATTTTTACTTCTAACAAACTAATTATCTATAAGTTTTCTTCAATATTTATAAAGGTCTAATTAAATTGATTAATTTGGTGCATTAAGCTTAGGTGCTGGGTTAGGATATTGTACTAATCTCTCAAATTTGACACTTAATCTTTCGTAAAAACAATTTATTTGTTTTGAATTGTGAAATTTATTTTAGAATATAAATATGAATTTATAGCAATATAAATAATTATTTTAATTTATTTATTTATTAGGTTTTTAATTTGATTAATTTTTTTTTATTAACTTGTGTTAGTTAGTTTGTTTGTTTGTTGTTTTTTTTTGCTTTTGTTAAAATTACTCATTTCTTTATTTTCAACTTTTACTTTTTTTATCAATTAATTAATTCATTTTATATTTTTCTTCATTTTTTCCTTTTAACTAACTAATTAAATATATTTTTTCTTTAATATTTAAAAAGTTAAAATTAAATTGGTGCAATTGGTGCTTCAGGCTTAGGTTTAGGTTTAGGAAATTGTTATAATCTCTCAATTTTGACACTTTATCTAAAGTAAAAATAGTTTAATTGTTTTGGATTTTGATATTTTTGAATATAAATTTGAATTTAAAATAATATAAATAACACTTTTAATTTACTTACTTACTTATTATCTTTTTATTTGATATATTTTTCTTTTTTTTGTTAATTTAACTCATATTTTCATTTTCAACTTTCGCTTTTATTATTATTATTTTATTTATTTCATATTACTTCACATTTTTTCTACATTTCTTCCTTCTAACTAACAAATTAACTAATATTTTTTTCTTCAATACTTAAAAAGTGGAAATTAAATTGGTGATGAAGGTATATCAGGTTTAGGTTTTGGTTTAAGAAATTGCATTAATCTCTCAAATTTGACACTTTATCTATGGTAAAAACAGTTTATTTGTTTGGTTTGTGATATTTTTGAGTATAAAAATGAATTAAAAGAATTTAATTAACACTTTTAATTTATTTTTTTATTACTTAATTTTTTCTATTTATTTAATTTTGTGTTTGTTTGTTAATTTAGCTTATTATTTCATTTTCAGCTTTTACTTTTATTATTAATTTATTAATTCATTTCATATTAATTAATATTTTGTCTTCATTTTTTTCTTCTAACTAAGTATCTTATTAATTATATATTTTTTCTTCAATATTTAAAAAGTGATAATAAAATTGCTGACGCAGGAGCATCAAATTTAGGTTCCGTCTTAGAAAATTGCACTAATCTCTCAAATTTGGCACTTTATCTAAGGTAAAAACAGTTTATTTGTTTTGGATTGTGATATTTTTCAATATAAATATTAATTTAAAACACAAAAACAAACTAATTTTTTAATTAATTTATTAGTAGCTTTTTATTTGATAGTGATATTTTTGTATTCTCCTTGTGTTATTTCTTTCTTTCTTTCTTTCTTTGTTTTTTTGTTAATTTAACTCATTCTTTTATTTAGATTTTTTCTTTTATTATCAATTAATAGTTCATTTCTTATTAATTAATATTTTTCTGCATATTTTCCTTCTAAATAACTAATAACTAAATATTTTTTCTCAATATTTAAAAAGATAGAATAATATATATAGTACTGGCGCATAAGGCTTAGGTTTTGGTTTAGGAAAGTGCACTAATATCTCAAATTTTACACTTAATCTAAGGTAAAAATAATTTATTTGTTTTGCATTGTGATATTTTTGAATATAAAAATGAATTTAAAACATAATAACTAAATAACTCTTTTAATTAATTTACTGAATAACTTTTTATATATTTATTTTTCTTTTTTTTTTTATTCTGTTTGAGTTTTTATTTATTTATTTATTTCTTTTTTTGTTAATTTATCCATATTTAAATTTTTCAACTTTTGATTTTATTACCAACTAATTCATTTTTTATTATTTCAAATTTTTTTTTCATTTTTTCCTTCTAACTAATAAATTAACTATATGTTATTTCTTCAATATTTAAAAAGTAAGAATTATATTGGTAATGGAGGTGCATTTGGCTTAAGTTCTGGTTTAGGAAAGTGCACTAATCTTTCAAATTTGACACTTGATCTAGGGTAAAAACAGTTTATTTGTTTTAGATAGTATAATTTTTAAATACAAAAATGAATTTAAAACAATTTAAATAACTCTTTTAATTTATTTATTAATTTTTATTAAATTATTTTTCTTTATTTTTTATTCTTCTTGTGTTTATTTAGTTATTTTGTTAATTTAATTCATTTTTTCATTTTCAAATTTTGCTTTTATTTTTAATTAATTAATTCATTCTTATTATTTCATCTTTTTTCTTAACTTTTTTCTCTTAACTAATTAACAAATTAATTATACATTTTTTTTTCAATATTTAAAAAGCCAAAATAAAATTGATGAAGTAGGCGCATAACGCTTATATTTTTGTTTAGTAAATAGCACTAATCTCTCAAATTTGGCACTTGATTTAGGGTAAAAACTGTTTATTTGTTTTGGTTTGTGATATATTTGAATATATAAAAGAATTTAAAACAAAATTATCAACTCTTTTAATTTATTAATTAGCTTTTTATTTGATTTATTTTTCTTTATTTATTTATTTATTTATTTCTTTGTTTTTTAATTAAACTCATTTTTTGGTTTACCTATATATTTTTTCTTCAATATTTAAAAAGGTGGAATAAAATTGGTGTATTAGGCTTAAGTTCTGGTTTAGTAATGTGCAATAATATCTCAAATTTGAAACTTTATCTTAAGTAAAAACAGTTTATTTGTTTTGGATTGAGATATTTTTGAAATTAAAATGAATTTAAAACAAAATAAATAAATCTTTTAATTTATTTATTTATTTGTTTTTTATTTGATTTATTTTTCTTTTTTTATTCTGTTTGTTATTTATTTATTTATTAATTTTAATTTTTAATTTTTAACTTTTGCTTTATTATTTATTAATTAACTTTTTACTATTTCATATTATTTCTTCATTTTTTCCTTTTAAAATAACTTATAAAATATATTATTTCTTCAATAATTAAAAAGTTTCAGTAAAATTAGCAATGAATGTGCATCAAGCTTAGGTTCAGATTTAGTAAATTGCAATAATCTCTCAAATTTGACACTTGATTTAAGGTAAAAAAGTTTATTATTTTGGAATGTGATAGTTTTGAATATAAAAATGAATTTAAAACAAACTAAACTAACTCTTTTAATTAATTTATTTATTTATTTATTAGTTTTTATTTTTGATTTATTTTACTTGTGTTTCTTTATTTGTTTACTAATTTAACTCATTTTTTCATTTTCAATTTTCTTTTTCATATTTTATCTTAATTTTTTCCTTCTAACTAAATTAGCTCTTTATATTTTTTTCGAAATTTAAAAAGGGGAAATAAAATTGGTGATGAAGGAGCTTCAGGTTTAGGTTCTGGTTTGGGAAATCTCACTAATCTTTCAAGTTTGATACTTCATCTCTAGTAAAAACAGTTTATTTGTTTGTTTTTTTTCAATAGTGATAGTGATATTTTTGAAAATAAAAATGAATTTAAAACATAACAAACTCTTTTAATTTATTTATTTATTAGTTTTTATTTGATTTATTTTTCTTTTTTTTATTCTACTTGTGTTTCATTCTTTTTTATTTATTTATTTTTTGCTTGTTTGCTAATTTAACTCATTTATTTTTTCATTTTCAACTTTTGCTATTATTATTGTTAATGAATTAATTTCTTAATATTTCATACTCTTTCATTCTAATTCGCTTATTAACTATATATTATGTCTTTACTATTTAAAAAGGGGTAATTAAATTGGAGAAATCGGTGCATCAAAATTAGGTTCTGATTTAGGAAAGTGCACTAATCTCTAAAATTTGATACTTGATCTAAGGTAAAAACATATTATTTGTTTTGTTTTGGATTGTGATAATATAAAAATGAATTTTAAAACAATTTAATTGACTCTTTTAATTAATTTATTAGCTTTTTATTTGATTTATTTTTCTTTTTTATTTTCCTTTTGTTTTTTCTATTTATTTATTTCTTTATTGTTTGTTAATTTAAATCATGTATTCATTTTCAACTTTTGCTTTTATTATTTATTAATTAATTTCTTGCTATTTCATATTTTTCATTCTTTTTTTCCTTCTCACTAACTAGTTAATTAAATTATTTCTTAAACATTTAAAAAGTTGCAATAAAACTGGTGTAATTGGTACATCAGGCTAAAGTTCAGGTTTAGCAAATTGCACTAATCTGTCAAATTTGACACTTTATTTAAGGTAAAAACAGTTTATTTGCTTTGGTTTGCTATATTTTTAGCTTTAAAAATGAATTTAAAACAATATAATTAATTCTTTTAATTTGTTTATTAGCTTTTTATTTGATTTATTTTTCTTTTTCTTTGTCATTCTGTAAATATTTTTTATTTATAATTTTTAAATATAATTTTAGTTTAAAAATTTTATTCTAATTAATTGTTTTTGGTAATTTATTCTAATTGATAATAAAAGTTTAGGCTATATGAACCAATCAGAATAATTGAAAATTTAAAGCAAATGTCTTAAATTAAAAAAATTAGTTTTCTTTCAAACAAATTTATCAAAGTAATAGACAGAAAAGTGGTGAAAAAGGATGAATAAATAAATATAAAGTATTTGAATAATAGAAAATAAAAATATATGTTTTATTACATTATTATTTCTAATTGCAGATTTATTTTTTTAATAGAAATTAATTTGATATTAAATAAATTTATTTTTTTAATTTCATAATTACTTATTTAATTTGTATAAAATTTAAAATAATATAATTAAATTTTAAAATTTTTACTTTATATAAAACTTTTAAATTTTATTACATTTTTGTTTTATAAAAATTATTTGAAAATAAAATTCTATCTTAATTAAGCTTACTTAATTAATGAGGATTTAAAGTATTTTTCTTTGTAAATATTTTTTTAAACAAATTTAGTATAAGCTATTTATTTAATGTAAAACCATGAATAAATTATTAAAGTTTTTTTTATTTTTAATCATTAACAAAAAATAAAAGAATTAGACTGATATTTAATTTAAATTTTAAAAATATTTAAATAACATTTTATGAAACATAAATAATTTACACAATAATAATATCAAAATTGTAAACTATATTTTGCTAATTTCTTTATTTTGAGAAGCTTTTAAATTAATTTTAGTTTCTCTGGCTTCTAAAGTATTGAATAGCTATTAATATTAAATAAATAAAATTTATTATTTTAAAAATATTATATACTTTTTTAAGAATAATTTTTAATTAGAATTTGATTTTAAAGTTTCATAGTAAATTTAAATTAAATAGCTTCTTTTTACACCTGAAATAAATGAAAGCATAATTTTAATTGCATAGCATTTATAATTTAGTCTAAAAAGGATTGTTAGAAAAAAAAATATTACAAATCAAAGAAAGCTAAACTAAATAGACTGTAGTTTTCTATACTAGAAAAGAAGTCTATCACATCCTAACATTTGATTTCATTCCTACTTTTAATATATTTTACTTTATAATTTATGCATCAATTTTAATCCTTAAATGTAAATTATTAATATAAAATTTTTAATGTCATTTAATAAATTAATCAATTTCATTTTACCTAAAATTAAGTGCTAAATGTTTAATTTTATTATTTTTCTTTAATAAAAAGCCGAATTAAGAAAGCTAAGGATCTTTTATTTAACATTAACTATTTTTAATATTTTTGATGTGATTATTTGAATTTTTTTTTCAGTTTAATAATACTAAATATTAAAAAAAGTAGATTTTGTTAAAATAATAATATGTATTGGATAATTTTTTTTAAAATAAATTTTTTATACAATAAATCTAGGTGTAATGCAAAGAGTTTACAACCAGCTGTTAATGCTAATAAAATTGCTGATGCACCACTATCTCCAATTTAGTTAAAACTTTTTAAATTATATTTAAAATATATTAAAAAGTAATTTGGAGGTAATCGAAAATAATATATTTATTTTTGGTAATCAATTTATTATTTTTATGAAATTTTGGACTTAAAGAAATATATAGATTTTGATTAACTTTTATTGAGTTTTTAGTTTTATATTTATAGATTATAATATGAAACTTAAATAAATAAGTTTGAATTTTAATTTACTTAGAAAGTTCAATAAATAATAAAAATCATTGAATTAAAATGGCTAAATATTATCATTTGTAAATTTTCTTTTTAAAAAAAATTTTCACTTTTTTTTTGCAAATTATTCATAAATTTTTAAGGTATTAAAACAATAAAAATAAATAGCATTTTTTAAAAATCATATAAAGGAGAATATATAGTAAATAAATTGATTTATTCAATATTTATTTTTAAGAAATATATTTATCATTTTTATCTTATCCTCCTCTTCTATCAAAATTTTAAAAATTAACAATAAAAAACAAAATTGTAAATTATTTACTTCAAATTAAGCTTTAAGGATAAAAGATTTTAGTAATTTTAGAAAATCTTTCCTAAGTTTTATGGGCCTTTTTCTGTAATATTGTTATTTCTTTTTAATTAACAAAATAAAATTTTAAAAATACACTAGCATGAAATAAATTTTTTGATTATAATAGATTAATTTGGTAATAAATTAATGTATGAAAATAAATAATATATTTACGAAAATTTTAGATTAAGATTTTAGAGATTTTTGCAATTTGCTAGTTCGAAAATTATGCCTGAAAAACCTTCATCACCAATTTAATTATTACTTAAAATTTTATAAATATGTTAAAGTTAATATAAATTTATTAATGAATTTTATGTAAAATAAGCGTTTTTATTTTATAATTTCAATTTAAATTTTATAAAATTATCTGAATTAAACTAAAATGTATGTTAATCTTTTTTATATTTATAATTTCATTCATTTTTAAAAATAGATTGAATGAAATTATAATAATATTTTTTAAGAATCAAATTAATTTGTTTGATAGACAGACATAAAATTAGATCTTTATTTTTAACTTTATTATACTTTTATCTTAGACAAATTTTTAATAAAATTAATGATAGAAAAATAAATTAAAATTAGTTTATATTTTTACTAGAAATCAATTTTCACATTTTAAAGGACTTTGCATTTTGATAAACCAGAGCATAAACCTTTAGCACCATCATTATCAATTTTATTCTAACTTTAAATTTTTAAATATATTATTAAAAATACAATAATAAATAATAACTTAAAACATTTATTTATTAAATTTAAACTATTTAAGTTAAGGTTTTAAAATTAAAAATATGAATTTTTTACGAAAAATCGACTTAGAAATTTAAAAGATTATCACAATTTCCTATGTTTTAGCCTAAGTGCATAACACCTATACCTACAAAACTGCCTTTGCTTTTTTATATTAATCAATATAATTAAAAAGAGAAAAATTAATTTTGTATACCGAAGCTAGAGTTTCAAGTTTTAAAGATTTACAATATTCTAAATCATAATAGAACCTAAAGTTACACCTTAATCATAAGGACTTATATAAATAAAAGTATTTAAATTGAAATTAAAAAGAAAAACTCTTAAATAATTTTGATTGCTCATACTAATAAAAATTAAAACCGTCAATCCTTATTAATTAAGGCTTATTTATTTTAAAGCCTCTAGCTAAGATTTTCTAGTACATTTAATTCTCACTCATCATTTTTTTATATAAATTTAGACTGAAAATATGAGGTATTATAAGATTTATTTAATAGATATTTAGATCAAATAAAATATTTTGGTGTTAGTTAAATAAAACATTAAGGATTGAAGATTTAATTTCAAAAAATAAAGTTGTTTTTATTGTTTAGATTATTTTTAAAACTATGAATAATATTAATAAAATTTATTTACGTCAATTTCAAAGTAAATGTTGTTAGATTGGAGCAATTTACTAGAGAAGGACAAAAAATCTATGTATCTAAATAATCTATAGGATTCGATCTTTATGAAAAAAATAGTAAATGAATTAAAATTTGAATTATTTTTCTTATATTTTTTACTTTAAGTTCATATTTAAATTCTAAATACTTTTGCATTTGAATAAAGGAGTAACTAAATTTGAAAAACCTTAGGCGTTTAGATGGTTAATCCTTTTGATATAAAATAAATTATCATACTAAATAAAAAAAGAAATATATTTTTTAATAAAAAAATGTATATATTTATCCAAAAGCTTGTATAAAATAATAGAATATTATTTTACCTAAGATTAAGCACATAATTTTTGAGATTAGTTAGATTTTCGAAGATTTAGCCTAAACCTATTGCACCCTTTTCTTTAATACGATTACACCTTATTTTTTAGAAAGATTACGTTTTTTTTTTTTTGAATTATTATTTTAGTATTTTATATTTTTGTTGATTTCTTTATTGCTTTCAAAAATTTAATAAATTCTTAAAAATGAAAAAATGATACATTTTTTAAATTTAATGAAATAGTTATGTTAAATTTTAATCTTTATTTACTAAAATTAGTAATAAATTTATATAATAAACTGATCAAAAATAAATTGTTAGAAAATATTTTTACTCTAGCATGAGTTTCAAATTTTAAACCATGGAGCACTTTGATATAGCTTGACCTAAACTATATGCACCATCATCACCAATTTCATTAGAACTAATTTAATTATTTAATAATCATTCATTATTATTTTATTATTTAAATTAAAAGCTGGATAAATTTATTTTCTGATAATTTTTAGAGAATGATATACTTTTTTTTAACAGTTAGAAAAATAATAAATAAATAATTAATTAAATATTTTACTCCATTTATAGTGTTAAATCTGAAAGAAATTTACAATTTGGCCAATTAGAGCATAAGTCTTATGTTCCTTTTGGACCAATTTTGTTGTAGCTTTACATATTTTAAGAAAAAATTAATTATTTTTTATTTTTTTAGAAAAGCATTTAAAATAAAGAATTAAATAAAATTAAAAATTAAAACTAAAAAATTAAGAAAAAAACTGATATTATTTATATATTTAATCATTTAAATAAATTTAAATTCAAAAAATAAAATTAAATTCTAATTATTTTACTAAAGAAACAATTCTAAAATACTAATATTCCTGCAAGATGAAAAAGCAAGTCCTAAAGCTGAAGCTCCCTAAGCACCTATTTCATTGGCTCTATAAATAATCGCCAATTTTTAGAGTAGTTAATTTCTCAATAAATAATAAAAAGCAAATGTAATTTTTACCGTAGGCTAATTTTCAACTCAGAGATATTGGTTAAATTTGCTAAAGCAGTAGCTAAACTTTATGCTCCTTTTTATTCAATTTTATTCCTCCTTTATGTAATTAATTTTTTAATTTTATGAGATATTGGTTAAATAAATATTAAAAAATTAAATAATTTCTTACATAAGTATGAGTTTTAAAGACTATAGATTTTTACAAGATTCTAAGCTTGAACTTAAGGTTTATATACCGTTATCACTAATCTCATTTGAACTTTAAAAATATATTGATTTTTTTTTAAATTTTTATTGAGAATTTCAAAAATATTTTGTTTTTTTAAAATATATAATCAATCCGAAATGAGGAATTTATACAATAAATAAAAAAATAAAATAAGCAATAATATTAAACAAATAATATAATTTAACCTTAACAATAATTTCAAAACTTGAAGATTTTTACAGCTTGCTAATCCTAATCCCAAATATTTTGCACCTTCATCTCCTATTTAACTTTATTAAGAAAAAATTAATAATTATTATTGAGATAGTAAAATAGCATTATAAATTATCTACCTAAGTGTTAATTTTAAATTAGTTAGATTATCACAATTTGTGAGTATAGAACTCAAATGTAGAGCACCCAATACTCCAATTTTTGTATGACTATTTTAATATTATAATCGATATTAATTAATAAAAATAATTTGTAGATTTGATATAGAAGTCAAAGAAAATAAACATTTATTTAAATTAAAAGTCAATTAATAAAAATTAAGTTTAAATAAATTAAATTGAAAGAATTATAAAAATTTTAAATTTAAAAAAAAACAAAATAAATAAATAATTAAATTATTTTACTCTAAATTTAATTTCAAAGTTTTCAAAGATTTGTTATCCTTAAGAATAGATGTTAATTCAAGAATATCTTCACTATAAATTTCAGTTTCTCTAATTAATTTATATAAAAATTAATTATTTTCTTCTACTTGTAAAAAAGCAAGGAATAAAAATATATAAAAAGGGGGGTTAAATATGAAATTTTTCATAAAATAGTTTTCATATTTATTTATTGCATATTTAAAATATTTTATTTTCCTACATTAATTCCCTTTTCCTCTCTACCCTTCCATACATAAAGACAAATAATAGAAAATATTTAATTTCATGATACTATATTAACAATAAAAAAGTGGATAAAAATAAATTATACTGCATGTTAAGATTCAAAGTATGTAAAAGAGAGCAAAATTTTAAAGCAGAACATAATTGTTATAATCCTTCTTTTCTTATATCAGTAAATCTTTAATTTATAAATAATATATTAATTATTATTAAAATATTAGTATTAAATTAAAATATAAAATTAATAATTTAATTTTTTCTATTTTAATAAAAAAGTTAAACAATTAAAAATAATTTTTTACTATAATTCAATCTTTAATATTTCAAGGTTAGTGAATTATGCTAATTTATGACCTAAATTTCAAAACCCATCATTACCAATTGTTTATGCCCTTTTATATTAATAATTTAATACAAATATTTTTAAATAAGAAAAAATTAATTTAAAATGCATTAAAGACTAATTTGAATAAATAATTTATTATTTTTAAAAAATAAAATATTTCTATCTTTAAATACAATCAACAAATAGATAGTATTTAAATAATTTTAATTTTTTATCAAGGCGTTTTAAATCAGATTTTTATTAATATTTTCCTCAAAAAAATTGATTATTTATTTATTTCAAATTTTAAATAATTATTTTGTAATAATTTGATTAAATAATCAATCTATGATAACTATTTATTATTTTACTTTAAGTCAATTTAAAAAATTGATAAGGCCTAATTTTCAAAGTTTGTAAACTTTTTTTGAAATAAAAAACATTTTAATATTAGATTTGTATCAAATCAAATTACATTTTCTAAATTAGTAAATTTATATTTCTATTATAGCATTTTTCTTTTTCTTTTATTTGTATTCAAATTATTAATCTCAGATTAATTAAAACAAAATCTTAATTAAAACAATTATGATTAAATTACTCATTTTATTTGCAAAAAAGTCAAAAAAATTATGTTTTATTTAATAGCAAGAAATTGTGATTAAAAACAAAATATAAAAATAATTGGATTGTTTTTAATTTTTACCCTAAATTCTCTTAAGATTGGTGAAGAAGTAAGTTGAAAAATTATATTTTTTATAAAATCAATTAAGGTATTTATTTATTTATATAAAATTTATTAGAATAAAATGCAATAGAAAAATTTATAATAAATAATTAGAATTATAATTTTAATTTAGGCTTCTAAGTAATTATTATCATTAATAAAATTTGATAAAATGAAATTCAAGGTTTGTTTAATAAAATAAAAAGCAAAGAATTTATTCAATTAAATAAAATATTAATGATAAGTATTTTAAATTTAAATATCTAAGACATTTCTATAAAAAATAAAAGAAAATACTTATTTATATTTATATATTTATTGTATTTTTAAGCTTAAGCTGATTTTCTCAGCATTTAGTTTATTAAATAAGAGATGTTTAATAAACACCGAATTCACTATCTGCTAAATCTAATTCAAATTATTAAGTATGCTATGGCAAAAGGCAATCTGTGTCAAAATCAAAGGTTTCAGGTTTTTTTTCATATTAAGTAGATTTGAATTAGAATTTAAAAGCCATATTTTTTTTACAAACATTTCTTATCCATAATTTGTTTGTGTCCAAATTTAAAGTAGATTAGAAGCATTCATCATCATCAGCAGCAGATCTTAGGCTCACATTATTTTTCAATGTACTAAGAGTGAAAATACTTAACAGAGATATTAAGGAAATAATTACCAAAGCAAGTTTCATTTTTTTAAATCTTTTTTTTAGTTTCTATTTGATTTGAATATAAATTAATTATTGTATTTTTATGAACACTTAAAATATTTAAATAATATCTATTACTATTGAATAAAGACAAAATCAAAATTAAAAATCTATGTTCAATAGTAAAAGATTTATTTTTTAGTAATTACAATATTTTATATTTAAGCAAAGTTAATTATATTTTATTTCTGATATAAAAAATGTATTTCTTATATTAGCAATATATTTCTTATCACATGGAGATTAATTATGCCTTCTTTTTTATTTATAAATATGTCAAAATAATATTTTTACTTTCTATCTCTTTATTAAAAATCACATGAACTTAAAAAAAAAGTTATCATATCATAATAGTTTCATTTAAAATGGATACAATTGCATTTTTATTAACTAATATAGAGCCTTAAAACTAACTATTTGAGAGGTTATAAAAATTATTAAGATTTTATATCTTATCAGGTGCTATTACAAATTTGATGAGGAAAATTAATTAATTAATAACTATCTGATCAAAAAACAAAATATTTCTTAAATTAGCAATATATTTCTAATCACATGGATATTAATTGTGCCTTCTTTTTTCTACAGAAATATGTCAAAATAATACTTTTACTTTGTATCTCTTTATTAAAAATCACATGAACTTTAAAAAAAAGTTATCATATCATAATAGTTTCATTTAAAATGGATACAATTGCATTTTTATTAACTAATATAGAGCCTAAAAACTAACTATTTGAGAGGTTATAAAAATTATTAAGATTTTATTTCTTATCAGGTGCTATTACTTATTTGATGAGGAAAATTAAATTAATAACTATCTGATCAAAAACATTTACAAAACATTTCTGATTAGTTTAAGAATAATTAAATCTTCTTTTTTCTTATCAGAATAAGTCAAAATAATTAATTTTCTTACATTTTACCTCTTTAGTAAAAATTATATGAACAAACTATTAAGTTTTTTACCCTAAATCATAATAAAATATCTAATCTACCCAAATGAAGTCAAAGTAATAATTCTACATTTGTTTCTAATAAGCTAAGCGAGGAATTTGTTTTGATTTTATATCAAAACAATTAATTGAAAGGAAAGTATAGTTTTACTTTTGCTTTTTAATGCATAGAAATCAAACATTTTGATAATTAAAAAAATTAATATGAAAATAAAGTTGATTCAATTAACTAACCATCCTTTAATTTTATTATTTGAAATATCTCAAAACACAAATTTTTAACTATTTATTATAAATTTTATACTTAATAAAATTAGTTAGTTAGTTAGTTGAGGAGATATTGATTTTTTTTTAATTGATAAAAGCTCATATTTGAATAATAAATATTAAAGTATATATAGAAATTATCTGTATAGAAAAATTAAATTTTAGTTAATCAATTTTTTCTTACCAGATATTAAAGTCTAAAGTTATTTGATAATAATTATTATTAAAATTGTCTACAATATAAATACAAAAGTATCTGTCTGACCAGAGGTATTAATGTAACTATATCAGAAATTATAAGCTTAAAATTACCACAAACTAATTAGATTTTTAATTATATTCGATGAGCACCTAAATAAGTCCTTTTTAAAAATGTTTAATGAATTAAAATAAATTCGTGTGAAATCTTTTAAAAATCCTACACAAATAAACAAAATATTTTATAACTTATAAATATCTCTCATGTCTCTTTTTATAAATGCATAAAACTTAACAAAATATAGAATCTTCTGTTTTTATAAGATATCAATTAATAAGCGAATTTTATTTCTTCTTTGATATAGATAGTTTGTTTGCATACCAAATAAATAATATTAAAAAAATAAATTGACTTACTATTTATTATAAACTCTTCTTTCTAATTTTTATTGTGAAAATAAATAAGGCATAAGGATGAACTTTTAAACTTTTTTATATAAAAATATTTAATTAATTTAAAACCTTCAAATTAAGTGTATCTTTTTATTTATTTATTTATTAATTACCTTCTTTGAGATATCTTAATTAATATATTTATTTCTAATATTTATTGATATTCATTTCCATGATTAAATTGTCTTTTATCAGCTGCAAAATTTTTTTTTGAAGCTTTCCTTCTTTTTTCTTACTTTCTTCTGATACATACAATTAAGTTGATAATATAATCTAAATAATAAAATTAATGTTGTTAAGGAACTAATTAAGCTCCTAATTTAGTTAAAGATAAAGTTGACATTTATTTTCTTTCAACTCCTGTTTCTTATAAAATCTTAACTTTTGGTGAGATGAGAGAGGAAAAATATATATAATTGTTAAAATCCAAAAATAATATTTTAGGTTGTTAACTTTTAATAAATTAATACAATAATATATTATTTATGCTTGAAAAAGGAAAATTAAGAGTCATATTTATTAAAAAGTAAGTAATACAAAAATATCTAAAATAATATAATTTTAAGTTAATAATTTTAAAAAGACTTGTATATTTTTTAATTATTATACAAAAGAAACGAATAGTATATTAACAATTTTTAAAATTTACTACTTATATTAACAATTTTTTATAAAATTAAATGTATCTTATAAACTTAAATCTTCTACATTTTTTACAAGCCCAGCCATTAAATACTTTAGGATATTAAATGAAAAAATAAAAACATTTAATTGATTAAAAATATTCTGGAACTGTTTGTTTGTTTTATTAATCAAAAAAATAAAAAAGGAAGCTTGGTTTTTTTATTTGATAGATCAAAAATAAAAATTATTTTTGAGGTTAATTTGAAAAGGGAGGTTTGTTTCCCTTTAAAATTTTGTAAAAAACTTATATTCTTTCAAATATTGAATTTTTGAAAAAAATATTTTAGTTTGAAAAAGAATTCAATTTACCCACCTACCTATATGAACTCAATTTTAATGCCAGCTAATGCAATTTCAAAAAATCACTCCACCATGCAGATTTCATAGACTTGACTTCTTTAAAATGCTTTCAGTTTTCTTTTCATACAACTAATTCCTACAGATTAGTATATTTTATGTGTTTTGTTATTATTATTTTTTTAATGCTTAATAAATAAATACAAATAACTCATTTAATTTTTAAAAATTTGATCATATTTACACTATCTCAAAATTTCTCTTTTATCTAATTTAATAAATTAACATAATGAATAATTAACAAAAGCTAAAAACTAAAGAAGGTAAATATAAAGTAATTAAAGTATAATTATCCAAAAATAAATAGGTAATGTTTTCTTACTGTGAGAGCTTCATATGTCTATTGATAAAGTTACTCTTTACTGATATATTTAATTAAAACTTACAAATTTATTAGAATATGTCTTGATATGATATATCATTTGAAAATTTATAAAGACAGAATCCAGAAGAGTAATTTTAATTTTCATAATATTAAATAAAAATTTTGATCAAACAAAAATATTAATTGATTTATTTGAAAAAAATGGTGGAAAACTTTTTAATTAAATTTAAAAAAATTTATATTTTTAATACTTTTTATATATAATATATATTGATATGAATAATATGCAACAAAGATATTATTAAGTCGAAATCAATTAATCAACAATCATTTTATTCTTTAACACTTTGAGTGAAAGTAGTGTAGCTCCTTGGGAAATCTAGCTCGAATCTTTATGTTTCTTTTTGCTTTAGGCATATAGTTTCAAAATCTAATTTTTTAGTTTCATTTTAGTCTGAAGCAGAAACTGAGAATTTAAAAGTCACATTTTTTTGGCATGCATTAGTTACAGTTATGTATAAGTTGCCCATATCCAGAGTAGAGCTTAAACAAGTAATATCATCAGAAGATCTTAGATTTTAATATTTATTTAATGAGTTAACAGTTAAAATGCTCACTAAGGAAATTATAGAAATTAGTATTAAAGCAGTTTTCATTGTGCTCAAGTTTTTTATTTTAATTGATTTATTTTATTTAAAATTAATTAATTATCTTCCTATTTAGGATGAGCACTTACTTATATATAAAAAATTATTGTGTAAAGAAAAGGTAAATACTTAATAAAAACGATGATTACAAAGAATAGGCAACGAGAGATAGAATTAATATTTAGAAGTTTTTGTTTCAAGTATTAAATCTTTTACAATCTAAATTGAATGAAATGAACTAGAGGTTATTATTAAAGTAATTAAGAATTAGTCAGAAATTGGTAGCTATTGATATTTTTATATAATGATAATTCTTTTACTAATATTTAATTAAAAAATAGACATTTAACTTTATAAATATGTCTTACTTAAAGCTATAAAGTTTATTCAAAGAGTTTGTTTGCTATCAAGTATTTTTACCTTAAATCTTAAAAAAATACCTAATCTACTCAAATAAAGTCAAAGTAATAATTTAACATTTTTTCTATTAAGCTAAGATAGGAGTTTGTTTTGATTTTATATCAAAAAAATTAATTAATTGATAAGATAGATATGCTTTTGTTTTTTAATGCATTGAAATCAATAATTTTGATAATTAAATAAAAGAAATTAATATGAAAGTAACGTTGGTTCAATTAACCATCCATGAATTTTATTATTTGAAATATTTAAAAATGCAAATTGAAAGCGATTTATTATAAATTTCACTTATCAGTTAATAAAATTATAAATTAGTTAGTTAGTTGAGGAGATATAGATTTTTTAAAATTGATAAAAGCGCATTTGTGCATAACCAATATTAAAGTATAGATGTTATCTAAATAAAAAAATCAAATTTTAGTTAATCAATTTTTTTCTAACCAGATATTAAAATCTAAAATTATTTGATAATTAATTTTATTAAAAGGGTCTGCAATATAAATACAAAAGGATCTATCTGACCAGAGATACTAATGTAAATATATCAGCAATTATTAGCTAAAATTTACCATAAACTAATTAGATTATTAATTTTTTAATTATATTCAATTAACATATAAATAAGTCCTTTTTAAATATGTTTAATAGATTAAGATAAATTCATGTAACATCTTTTTAAAATCCTAAACAAATAAACAAAATATTTTATAACTTTTAAATATCTCTCATGTCTCTTTTTATAAATGCGTAAAACTTAACTAAAAATAATTATTCAATCTTCATTTTTATGAGTGATTGATTTATCAACGAATTTTATTTCATCTCCAATTATAGACAGTTTGCTTACCAAATATATAATATTAAAAAAATAAATTGATTTACTATTATAAACTCTTCTTTCTAATTTTTATTGTGAAAATAGCGCATAAGGATAAACTTTCAAACTTTTTTATATAAAATAATAAAAAAGCCAATTCATAAATTTTAATATTCGATTACTGTATTACCTCTTAACTCGATTCTCGCAAATAAAAATTTTTGGTTTCGAATAGTAAGGATAATCTTCATCAAAAACAAGATCTTTGACAATTTTTTCTTAGCCATCTTATTTAGAATATATTAATATTTAGTTTAACTTATAAAATTATTATAAAATATCTGTTATAAATTATAAAAATATATTCCATAAGAGCAATAATAGCTTTTTTACTATCAAAATTAAATTTTGATAAAAGAAAAATTTTATTTGATTTATTTGAAAAAAATGATGGAAATAATTTTAATTATATTTAAAAAAAGAAATATTTGAATATTATTTAATTTATAAGTTTAATACTATTTTATATAATAATATATATTAATAGAAATAATATCTAAAATATTATTAAGTAGATATCAATTTATCAGCATTCACTTTATTCTCCCAATGCCTTTTAAATCGCTTAGGAAATCTAGCCTGTATATATCATTTTAGTCTAGGTTAAAATATTTAATTTTAC